GGTATTCCTTTGTTGGGTTCTTGGTGTTTGCTGAGTTTGGTTGTTTCCCTATCGACATTTCATTACACAGCTAGGACAGTAGGATTTGCTGGCTGTTTATAAAGTATATACAGTAGTTGTTTGCCCTGCTAGTCTTGGTTGGGGTATGGTTTCTTCCTTGATGGTTCTTTGCTTAGGGTACTGTTTCTTTCCTGATTGTTTATCTGGTGCTGTTTCCTGCTGATCTGGGTGTTGGCAGTTAGGGCAGATACACTGAACTGTTTTCTTCCTTCCTTAACTTTTGATTGTGTCTTTGAAATGGTATGTAGATAGATTTCATCTCTAAGTGTCTGATGATGGTTGATTTGTCTGAAGGACAATCCAGGAATTCCCTAACATTTTTGGATCTGGCTTGATCTAGAATATCACCAGTTGAAATGGTGGTTGAATTTGTCTAAGTGTTGAGAGACTAATGAACATTTATCATGTCTTCTGACTGCCAGTTAATGTTTGTGGATGTGATCTGCTGGTCGTCTGCTGTCTGTCCTATATAGTGGCTGTTACAGTCCTTACCTTGCTGGCTGGGGAATTCTGGGAGTTGAAATCCACTCGTCTTAAAGTTGCCAAGGTTGAGGACCCTGTTGTAGACAACTCCTGTTTTTTCTTCTTTGGCTACTGGATCTTTAGGTTTGCTTAAGAAGTTTTGGAGGGATGTGATTTGCCTACTATAGTGATGCCAAGAGCTCATAGTAGTCTGTTGGTTGTCTCAGATATGTTTCTGATATATATCAAACTCAAAAGAGTGTTCCTTCTCCTAGGCTGTAATGGTTGCGCAGCAATAGGTTGTGCAGCTAGGCCCTTTTTAATGAAGTTGTGTGGGTATCTGTTGCACTGGAAGAGGTTGTACGCGTCGTCTGTTTCCTTCTCTGGGAATTCTGGATTGCTGCAGTTTGTGCTCGTCTGAAAAATGTCCTTGTGTAGCTCCTCTTGTGGACGGTTGGATTGTTGCTCGGTTAGTGAGAGTTGCTTTCCAATGAACCTGGGTGCGTATGTCTGCCACTGCTTCCTCTGCTGATGAGGATATCCAAGAATAATAGTTTGTTCTTCTCTTATAAATGTTATTCCCTTAAATATGTTGTTGTCTTGTGTGTCTCCTCTGTTCCTATCATCTAGGTAATGGACCCATATTTTGGGTTGTATGTGGGGGAGTGCACCTGCAGCCATGAATCCTGAGATGGGTGACCACATGGGTGTTCCTCTGATTTGCCCGTATATTTGTCCATCTCGTTGGAAGCAAGTGGTGAGGCATAGCTTAGTAAGTTCCCTGAGTCTGTGTATCTCAACTGTTGCGTATTTTGTTAAGTTTGAAGTGTTGCATAGCAGTACTGAAATGGATTCTTTTGCTGGTTCTGGATCTATGGATGTGAAAAGTGCTGTAACATCAAATGGAACTGTAATTTCCTCATATTCAGTAGTTAGGTCCTTGATTTTTCTGGAGAGATTGTAGTGGTGAATTGATAGAGTTCACTCCTATCTATGAGGTCTACAAGTTTTTTAGCGAGTTCTTTAGCTAGATTGTATTTTGAGATTCCTGGTAGCAATATGACTAGACAGAGTGCCTTGTTGGGTTCGTGTATTTTAGCTTTTCATCCACCATTGTTCTTTTGTGATTTGTCCTTTCTTGGCTAGAAGGCTGAGGGTTTTCTTAATTAGGTTGTCCAGTTTCTGTGTTGGGTTGGTGTTTAAGGGGCTGTAGTTTTCTTCGTCCTTCAGTAATTCTTTGGTTTTCTGTATGTATTATGTTCTTCCATGATGACTGTGGATTGGCCTTTGTCTGGTAGAAGGATCATGAATGTTTGGTAATTTTTAATGTTTTCAGGGTGGATCTTTCTTCTGCTTTGAAGTGATTCTGTTTATTTTGTCAATGACCACTGAGTGTATTTATCCTTGTCAAATTATCTTGAGCAAATCACAAGTCATTCAATAATCTTTTGATAATTATTGTTGTGCTAACTGCCACAACTGGAAAATTTAACTGGAAAGGAAGTTTAGCTTTCTCTAGATCAACTTTTAAGTGTATATGAAATTTCATTGGCTAACAAAATAACAAATATACTTAGAATATTAAAATTAATTGTTCTTATGACTTAACTAAGTTTTTCCTGCACAAGTGTCCATGTATATACATATTCTGATTAACACTGCTGAATATAGTATTGGAGTATTTGTATTTCTCCTTAAGTTTGCATATGAGAAAGATAAAGGAATTTTACGAAGTTATAACCTCATAAACCCTGTACTTGCATTTGTAGGAACTCCTTTTTAAGAGTGGTGCAGGATGAGGGGTTGGAGGAGAGACTCCACTCAAATTGCTCATGAATTGCTCCAGAAGACAACAAGAATCAGTGGGTTTAAATTACAAGGATGCACAGTACAGAACATCAGACAGAATTTCCTAACCAGAAAAGTTGGGAAGAGTTGGGGAGGGAGCCGACTCTCCTTGGCTGGAGGTGTTCAGACAGAGGCTGAATAGCCATTTGTTGGGATGCTGAAGAGGTGCATTTCTGCACTGGGAGCTGGCTGGACTGGGTCCCTTCCAAGCCTTCCCTCATGTTATATGATGGGATGGTTTAAAGGAAGCTTCTCCAAACTGAGCTCTGGCCTTTGCCAGAAAAACCTTTCTGGGAACAGAATGAGAGGAATGGAATAACCTCCATTTTGCCAAGTGTTGCAGACCAATATGTAGAAGGGTATAACCCTCCCAACCCCCATTTGTCCACAACTGACCAGCCTGCAGGGAGGAGCGGACAAGTAGCTCTGTGTGTGTGTGTGTGTGCGCGCGCGCACGTGCAACAACACAGAGTAAAGCAACCCACACGATCCACACACACGTGCACGGAGCAGAGCGGAAGGGAACCCGAGCGCCCAGCCATTCTGACTCCCTAGAGTTCTGCGGGCTCCCGGAGCCTG